TGCCACGTGCACCACGCACGTGTACATTTCTTAGAAAAATTAATTATCTATCGTCTTCGAGTGCGACCGATCCCGCAGGCAGCTAGCCGGAGCGCGGGGCAAGCAAGCTGACCCCCGCCCGGGTTCTCACCTCTCCCGAGCGGAGTGGCTCTCGGTGTTTGGTGAGCACCACCACTCCCGGACGGATTGGTTACCCCCGGTGCTACGATGGTGTTTTTTATGCCAAGATACTCATGGTGTTCGACGAGTATGGCCACAGGTTTCCCCGTGCACGTAGGGCTTCGAGGCATGGAAACTCGCCATGCCTGCTGTTTCTGACCAGTCGCCCCCGAAAACCCCGCTAAATTCATTAAATCTTATGTATGCTTTTAAATTCTCATATTGTTGCTCTGAAATGCCTCAATCAGCCAGTTCTATCCGTAACAATCCTCCCCCTCGTACAAAATTCATTTAATTTTGTACCTCATTTATTCCTAGTAGTTTTATTAGTTTTCGTGTCGGACGTCGAACGTATAAAATCACCCGTTCGGGTGCGCACCTCGGCTACTCTGACTTCTTTATCTACACTGGGAAATACTCGTGTAACGGTCCCTTTTCACCAACTATTTCGCGGTGCTTGTAAATGTACGATCAGCACTATACCGCCTACTTCTAAGGGATTTTCCTTCTCGGTCCATTTTTTACGCGGTACGAGCGTAGGTAAATATTCGCGCAACCATCGTTTCCAAAACGCCTCCGCGAAACTCTGCGCTGTTCGCCACTGTTTTCGCAAACATACATTTTGAAGATCATATCTACCTAGCTGAATCTTATTCGAGGACGATCCTATCAGGAAATGATTTGGCGTCAGTGCCTCTTTATCGCGAGGGTCTAACGACACGTGCGTGAGCGGTCGCGAGTTTACCGAATGTTCGGCTTCGGCAAAGAGAGTAGAGAGAACCTCTTTCGAGGGGTTTTGAGAGTAGAGGTTCCCTCTTTTGAGAGTAGGGGGAACCTCTTCCGAGGCGAGCTTGTTCCCTTAACACGTTGAGCGCGGCGCCGGTCCCCAGGGACCGGCGTTAGACTTTTCGTTAGGCCGATATCGGTCCGGTGGGACCGGCAGTATTAAAGTTAAAAGATAAATGTCGCCTGAATGAAATGTAGTCAAATATAGTTTTAATGAGCTTTATTAAAACATTCTAAGCAAAAGTATGGCTGGGATTTACACATGTAACAAAATGTAACAACCTTTTTTGTTAAATTTTTTGCTATCTTGGGCCCAAATAATCTTGAATTTTCAGCATAACAACCAGAACAATATTTCCGAACTTTATGGACGTCTCCTTCCTTTTTCTGCAATTTATGAAGAATTTTTTCTGCGGGACGCGGAATTTGTTCATCTTCTCGCTGTGTCAGTTCATTCACCAGTTGTCTCCGAAATTCCGTAATTGATATTTTTTGTCCTGTTACTTCTTGAAAGACGAACAGCGAATTGACCACAGCAGTGTTCAAACATAACTCAAAGGCTAACTTTTTATACCATTTGAGAGTTCTCCTCAAGGGACTGCTATACGCACTCATTTGATCTGACAAATCAATTGATGTTTTTGCTTTATTATATTCAACTATAATTTTGGGTTTACAGCAAAATCCGCGTTTTGTTTTTACGTTTATCATTTCGTTTGAATGTTTTGTGGACAGGACCAAAACATCTCTCTTGTCCTTCCATTTCAACACTGTAATACCTTGATTATTTTCTTTAACCACTCGCTGCCGGCAGAGCGGAAAGATCAGAAATATTGGCGTCGCGCTCAACGTGTTAATATTACGTTCAACGCAGTTTTTACCGACCTAATCAACCGTTCCCACGCCCCACCCATGTGCGGCGCATCAGGGGGGTTGAAAACCCACTTCACGCGTTTCGACAATGCGTATTCCTCGATCTTAGTTCGGTCCATACTCGCGGTCGCGTCCTTCAGCTCCTTATCCGCGCCCCGGAAATTCGTCCCATTGTCGCTGTAGACCACCTGCGGTGTGCCTCTCCGCGCCGCGAGTCTTTGTAATGCCATTATTGCCGAACTAGCACTTAGCGAATGCGCGATCTCTAAGTGGATGGCCCTTGTCGTGAGACACGTAAACAACACTCCCCAACGTTTCTCTCTTCGCCGCCTGATCTTTACCATCAACGGTCCGAAGTAGTCAACCCCACAGTGTGTAAAGGGTCTCTGCCGAAAAGCTACACGCCCTCCTACCGGTAGCGCGGACATCAGCGGGTTCTGTGGCCTGCCTCCCCGTATACGACATATGATACACCTACTTATGAGCGAACGTAAAACGCGTCGAAGACCGATTATGTGGTATTTTTGCCTTAATTCGTTCACTACCGCGTCGCTACTCGTGTGATAGAACTTGCGATGATATTCTGCAATTAGTAATTTGGTCGCAGGGTGTCGACCCTCGAGTATGATTGGTCGGTTGTCAAAACCCGCCTCGAGTATGATTGGTCAGTTGTCGAAGTTACCGTTACGCGCCCATTTGCCCTCAAAATTCCCCGTTCGTCTACGTAGGGATTTAAACCGGCGATTTTTCTTCCTTTGTTGATACTACGGCCGTTTTTCAACGCATCTATCTCGGCTCCGAAATATTCGTTCTGGATAACGCGGTACCAATACTGTTCCCCTATCCGAACTATTTCCAACGGTTCTTTTGCGGTGTTCTTCCTCTTCCAATGACTGAAAATCGCGTGTACTCGTCGCGCGATGACGAGAAGACCGCGCCAACCCATCAATCTTATCGGTAGCGAAAATTCTGCTTTTACCGTCGCCGCCACGTAGAGTTCTGCTTTTACCGTCGCCGCCACATAGACGCACGCTTTCCGCTGCTCTAATCCGTCGATTGTCGCCTTTTCCTTCGCGGGCAACGTTTTCTCTATCGGCCATTCGGATTCCGGGCGTCGCAAAAATTCTGGGCCTTCAAACCATCGCGGGCTTATAAATTCGGAGCTATTTTCGAAGCGCGTCGCGTCGTCCGCGGGATTCTGACCGGTCGGAACCCATCGCCACTCCGTCGTCCGCGTGTTTTCCCCGATCTCTCCTAAACGGTTCGCTACGAATACTTGAACGTTCGCGGCTCCGATCTGATCCATGAAATCACCGTGGTCGAATCTGACCAGAAAACTCGTCTACTGATTTTAATGTCGAGTTCCTTTTCTACGAATATCGCGAGCCTTGTTCCCATCAGAGCCGCCTACAGCTCTAGTCGCGGTATTGTCAACGGTTTTAACGGCGCGACTCTACTTTTGGCCATGTTCAAGGAAACGTGCGCGGATTCAGACTGATTTTCGTCTTCGAATCGTAGATAGGCTACCGCCGCGTAAGCCGTTAAGCTCGCGTCGCAAAACACGTGAAGTTGCGCTTCTGACTCCCGCGATTTCGTTAACGCGTAACACCTCGGCATCCGGCATTCTTTTACCCTATCTATCATGGACACCCACTTGCGCCAACGGATAAAATCTTCCTCCCGTAATTGGTCGTCCCAGTTTATACCACTCCGCCATATTTCCTGCATGATAATTTTCGACTTTAACGTAAACGGAGCGAGGAGACCGAGCGGGTCGAAAACCGACATAATAACGCATAAGAACTCTCGTTTGGTGAGCTTCTTTTCGCCTAGCAGGATTTCCTTTGGTATATTCTTCAACTCGACATTGAATTGGAGTTCATCAGTCTGTGTGTCCCAGAATAGACCGAGGACCCTCTCTCCCCCTCGATCGCCTAAACGCATGTCGCCCTGTTCTAACTATCTAAACGTTGTCCGTGATCAACGGAATTTTGCAAGACCTCCGCCTTGTTACTGGCCCAACCGTGCATGGCGAAATTCGCTCGCGCGTTTATTGCGATTACATCCCGAACGAACTCGGCCGCTTCGCGCACGGTTCTTCGACTCGATAAGAAATCGTCCATATAACTATCGTTAATAATATTTCTAGCTGCCTCCAGGTGAGCTTCATTACAGTCGTTCGCATTCTTGTCTTTGACGTTAGATCGCATTACACGGGGATGATTTTGCGCCAAAGATTAACGTCGACATCTCGTAAATGTCCGGTTCCCTATTCCTATCTTTTCCTCGCCATAGAAATCTTTGCGCACCACGATCGCTCTCCGGAATTTTGTTGCTCTGAAATGCCTCAATCGGCCAGTTCTATCCGTAACAGTTCCCTTTTGAATTTCGGCTTCTTTCAGCGGAAGGGTCTGCATTCAAGAAAAATTACTCGATATTTCCAGCTAAGCTTAGGCCTTCTTGTAATTTTTTTAATGTTAAATTATTAACTACACAATCTTCATCAGTGCTAATGTGGGAATTAAATCAAAGGTTTTAACAAAACACACAAAACAATTTATTTTTAACAAACGAATCTAACACGGATAACAACAAACTTTTAATTAACTGTTTTTAACGAAATTAATACACTCAAACGCTATTTCTAATTGTTCTCGACCACTTTCTCGTATTTCTATTCGTTCTCGACAACTTTCTCGAAACGTCTTTCGCCTCTGAAATTCGCCCCGAGATTGCCGTTTTTTCTCCGCGCTTCTTTGTCTCGCTATCAATTTTTAAACATATCGATAACTCTCGAACACAACATTTGTAACGTCCCTAGAGCCTAAGTTTAGTTAGTTACAAGCGCTAAAAGGTAAAGAGCGGCTTTTACCTCTAAACGACTCGATTTCGCGAATATAGATTGTGGGATTCGTGTGGTGTGTGGTTAAGGATTGAAATCCACAGGTCAAAATCTTTCAACAATTAGATTTATTCAATAAACGATAAGAAATGAAACTAACAAACAACAATAACAACAAAATAAAGAAAGTATATAAATTATAAATGATTGATTAGTATAAGGAACTAAATAGATCTTGAAATAATAATAATAATGATAGAAATAATAGAAATTGATAAATTAAACAGTATGTAATATGAGACTCACTGGTCAGTACTTTATGTTGGACCGTATCTAATTTAACTTCGCATTTGTAATATTAACTAAATTTGATATTCCTTATATATATTTGATTTTCGTGTTCGAAGGTATCGCAGTGACAAAGTT